GAGCGAAACGCTTGTTTTGCAGAATGTTGTTGAGGATGTCTCGAGCGGAACGCTTGTTTTGTGTTCTAGATTCTCCGTCTCCTCGGGACTAGAATTCAGAGGATCTCTCAAGTGAAATGCTTGTTTTCACGTGCCCAGGTCTTGAGGATGTCTCGAGCGAGACGCTTGGTTTCACGCGTCCAGGTTGCCCAGGCAGATGTCTAGCATAAGGATTTGTTGAGGCTGTCTCGAGCGAGACGCTTGTTTGCACGTGTCCAGGTTGCCCAGGCGGATGTTTAGCATGAGGATGTGACGAGAGAATGTCTTGAGCGAAACGCTTATTTTCACGTGTCCAGGTCGCCCAGGCACAGTACAGCCTTCGGCACGGTACATCGAGATCGATACATTCAGCATTGCAACCTGGCGCTTCCTTTCTCGTCAAGGGACGCGCCAGGTTGCAATGCCCCGTGGCACGTCGCGCGGCGCGTCCCCGTGGCGAGTCCCCCTGGCACGTCGCGCGGCGCGTCCATCCCGCGGCACATCCATTGGCACGTTCCGTAGCGTGTCCCCTTGGCACGTCCCGCGGTGCGTCCCCATGGCGCGTCCCCTGGCACGTCGCCTGGCGCGTCCCTTGGGACGTTCCGCGTCGCGTCCTCCTGGCATGTCCACCTGTCAATTAGCTCTGGGGCAGCTACTTTGTGCTCAGGCAGCTCGAGCTTAAGATCCAGATCAGTTCGGTCAGGACTCGGATGCAAATGAGGACTCGATCCACAACGCTATACAATGAGGGCGCGCATGAAGAAACCATCTACTTTTCGTCAGGGTATCCTGGGTTTCTTTGCTCCGCGCGCTGCGCGTTGACTTCCCGCGGCCGTTGAAAGAGCTGCTGCGTTCAGGGTGCTCCAGGTTTCCCCTCAGGTGCACCTCGCGCACGGCTTCTCAGGGTTGGGTTTCTTGCGAGGGTTTCTTGCGGCCGTGCCCGCACTGTAGTGCACAATCGCGGCATGGCACATCGCAACTCAGCACGGCGCAGCACAGCACAGCCCTCGGCACGGTACATCAAGATCGATACATTCAGCATTGCATTTGCCCGTCGCCCATTCAAGTGTTTTTTGAAGCGTTGCCATGCCTTACATTTCTATATTCCTTGCCAGGTTCGTGGGTCGATCATGTTCAGTAAGACAAAGGCAGCGAGACAGAGAGAGAGAGAGAGAGCGAGAGAGAGAGAGAGAGAGTTCCAGGCTCCCACGAGGACTCCCACGAGGTCTCTTACCAAGACGCATGCTAGCACCCGTCCGTAGCCATTTATTTTGGCTCAAGCTTCCACGACTGGACGCAGGTCTTGAAGCAGGCGCGAGCGCCCCTCTTGCCTCTGTAAACCAGCCCCCCGCGCCGACACGATGGGCTGCTGCATGGCCTCCCGCCAGGCCCTCGCGCCCGAGGACCAGCAGGCCGGCGGGCCGCCCCCGCACATGCCAGACGTCGCGGAGGTGCCCGTGCCCGAGGACCCGCAGGAGAGCGACGTCTTGCCCTAATCTCTGGCGGCGCCCGTCGACCAGCAGCACCAGCAGGAGGTCTCCAAGAAGGAGGAGCAGGAGTCGTTCGACTTGGCGCGGTATACGGACGCCGCGAGCCTCTTCGACGCGCTCGCGTTCACCGTGGATGACCTGCACCCCGTGCGCTTGGTCCGCATGACGTGGTTGCTGCAGCAGCGCGGCACGGTCCTGAAGAGGCGCCAGGAGCTGCCGGAGGAGGCCTTCGTGTCCGCGGACGAGTTGCGGGCCGTCTGGGAGGCCGGCGGGCGAGGAGGGAAAGACCAGGTGGCGCCGATCATCACCATCTCGTTTTGCTGGGACTCGCGCGAGCATCCCGACCCCAAGAGGTTGCAGCTGAACATGGTGATAGACACTCTAGAGAAGGAGCGCCTCAAGTACTCCACAGCCAAAGGTGACTTCAAGGGGTTCAGCGAGATGGGAATTTTTTGGGACTGGCCCTCGCTGCTGCAGGGCGACCCGATCAAGGCCGAGGAGGCGAGGGCCGCCGCCCGGCGGCAGGGCAAGACCGAGAAGGACGCGCAGGAGGCCGCGGACAAGGCCAAGCGGACTCCCGCCGAGAAAGCCGCCTTCAAGCACGGGCTGGAGGAGACAATGGACCTCTGGTACGCCCACCAGGCCACTACCGTGCTCCTGCTCACCCAGCACCCCCGCGAGCGGGGCAGCGCGCGCGAGTGCGGCTACGACCAGTCCGGCTGGACGACGTACGAGCGCTGCTCCGCGGAGCAGATCAAGCGGGTCTGGCGCTTCGAGGCAAAGTGGACCGCCGTGGCCGACCTGGGGCAGGGGGCGCGGGCGGAGGCGGCCGGGAGGAGGTGGCCGGTGAGCCCGGACGAGTTCGACCGGCTCATCGAAGAGAGGTCCTTCACCAACGGCGCGGACCGGGAGGCGGTGAAGGCGCTCTTCCGCCGGATGAGCCGCGCGCAGTTGGGCGGCATGATGACGCTGGACTTCTTCGGGATGCCGCCCCCGACCCCCGAGCAGGCCGCGGGGCTCGCAAGCTGCTTGCGGCTGTGCGCCCGCCTGCAGGAGCTGGACCTGCAAGGATGCGAGATCGGCGCCGAGGGCGCGAGGGCCCTGGCGGGGGCGCTGCCCTCCCTGCCCGGCCTGCAGGGGCTGGGCCTGGGCTTCAACAGCATCGGCGCCGAGGGCGCGCGGGCCCTGGCGGGGGCGCTGCCCTCCCTGCCCGGCCTGCAGCGGCTGGGCCTGCGCGGCAACAGCATCGGCGCCGAGGGCGCGCGGGCCCTGGCGGGGGCGCTGCCCTCCCTGCCCGGCCTGCAGGAGCTGGGCCTGGGCGGCAACAGAGGTCCGCGCGAGATTCGATCCGGGTCGATTCGACTCGGCGAATCGCATCGCCGCGAATGCCGATCTGATGCTGGAGGCCCCCTGCCACGATCCGGTTCGCGATTCGATTCGGTTGCCGAGCGATTCGATTGCGATCCGGTGCAAAGCGGGCGACGATCCGGTTCGCGATTCGATTTGGATCTGGCTGACCCGACGCCCGCTTGCTGCGCGAGAGGCCGCCAGGCTAAAGAACAGGAGGTGGAAGGGGAGGAGGTGGACAGCGAGCTGTCCGGACCGGGGGGTCGGGGCCGGACCGGGGGCCCTCGTCGCCGCCGGGGCCGTCGTCGTCGTCGTCGTCGTCGTCGTCGTCGTCGTCGTCGTCGTCGTCGTCGTCGTCGTCGTCGTCGTCGTCGTCGTGGTCGTGGGCGACGGCGACGGCGACGGCGACGACGGATGCAACGACGGCGGCCGCCCCCGCGGCGGCGGCCGCACGCAGCGGCGCCGCCTCGCAGCAGCGAGGTGCCCCGCTGGTCGGCCGGCCGGCCGGCCGTCTCGTCGTCGTCGTCGTCGCTGGCCGTTGCGGGCCTCGGGGGCCCCGGAGGGGGGCCCCAGCTTAGCGTTCTGACGAGGATTTCGTGGCGGATCCAGCCTCGGCGACGAGCGGCCCCGAAACGCGCGAAACGCCGCCGCCGCCGCCGCCGTCGTCGCCGCCGCCGTCGAGGGCGGAGGACCGAGGTTCCAGGTTCGAGGTTCGGCCTCCGGCTTTTCGGCTGTTTTGGGCTTTCGGAGCGTCCGGTGCCCCCGCCCCGTGGCCACGGCCGGATCCGCCTCCCCCTCCTCCAAGGGCCGCCGCCGACGACGACGACGACGACGACGACGACGACGACGACGACGACGACGACGACGACGACGAGGGGGAGGAGGGAGGGCCCGGGAGGATGGGCCCCAGGGGAGACCGGGAGGGTGGGGCCCGGGAGGGTCCCCGAGGGTGGAGCCCGGGAGGGTCCCCGACGGGGGGGGCCCGGGAGGGTGGCCCGGGAGGGTACCCCAGGAGGGTCCCCCAGGGAGTCCTAGGAGGCTGAGGGCCCGGGAGGGTCCCCCGGGGGCGGGGGCCCGGAAGGGTCCCCGAGGGCGAGGGGGGGGGCCCGAGGGTGGCCCGGGAGGGTCCCCGAAGGTGGGGGCCGGGAGGGTCCCCGAGGGTGGGGCCCGGGCGACCACGAGGGTGGCCCGGGAGGGTGGCCCGGGATGGTCCCCCAGGGGAGCCCGGGAGGGTGGCCCAGGAGGGCGGCCCGGGAGGGTGGCCCAGGAGGGTCCCCCAGGGGGGCCCGGGAGGGTCCCCGAGGGTGGGCCCGGGAGGGCTCCCGAAGGTACCCGTGGGGGGGGGGTGGCCCGGGAAAGTCCCCGAGGGTGGGCCCGGGAGGGTCCCCGAGGGTGGGGCCCGGGAGGGTCCCCCAGGAGGGCCCGGAAGGGTCCCCGAAGGTGGCGCCTGGGGGGTGGGCCCGGGAGGGTCGCCCGGGAGGGTCCCCGAGGGTGGGCCCGGGAGGGCCCAGCCGCCGCCGGCGTCGCCGTCGCCGTGGCCGTCGCCGTCGCCGCGCGGCCAGCCAGGTGCTCAACCTGGTGCGCAAGCGCGACGGGAGGAGGAGGAGGGGGAGGGAGAGAGGGGGGAGGAGGGATGGAGGGAGGACGGCCACGAAGGGGAGTGCCCACGCCGGGGGCGTCCGGGGGCCGCGATCCAGTCGCGCGATCCGGTTCGCGATTCGATTCGACAGGGTCGCGATCCGGTCCGCGGTTCGATTCGGCAAGGTCGCGATCCGGTTCCCGGTTCGATTCGCTTGCGGTTCGCAGCGATCCGGTTCCAGGCGATGCGATTACGATTTCCCGACGGGGGCGCGCGGGCCCTGGCGGGGGCGCTGCCCTCCCTGCCCGGCCTGCAGGAGCTGGGCCTGCACGGCAACAGCATCGGCGCCGAGGGCGCGCGGGCCCTGGCGGGGGCGCTGCCCTCCCTGCCCGGCCTGCAGGAGCTGATCCTGGACGGCAACAGCATCGGCAGGGACGGAGAGGCGGTGCTGCGGGCGGCCTGGGGCAGCCGGGGCGGCTTGTATGTCTGATCCAGGGGCGCCTGCCCAAGGGGGCACCAGGGAGCGGCGGGCGGGGTGGAGGGCTGGAGGGATGGAGGGAGGGGAGGAGAGCCGGACGGCGCCCGCCCGAGCTCGGCCTCAGCCCGCTCCATGCAATGATTTGCACGCGAGAGTTGCGAGCGGGCAGCGCTTCCTTGCAGGTGCGACAATCAGATGCACTTTCACCCACGCGCAAGTTTTGCATCCAGTGCGCAAACTATTTGATCCAGGCGCCAACTGCTGCAATTACTATTACACCTCTCCCCGCGTTTTCCCTTATCTCCCCCTCATCTCATTTTCTTGTCTTCGTGCTCCTCCATGAAGGGCTGCGCCCACTTAGAGCGCCAAAGTGCTAAGAAGCAGTGCGTTGCTTAGACAGGCCCAGGGGTAGGATTCGATGCGATGCGGAGCTCGTCCGCGCAACATTTGTTTCACTTGCACTGGGCGCGGGTGCTCCAGGATTGGCAAGTTCTCGCCACCCATACTCAGCAAGGGTCCAGTTCGGCGGCGGGCCGGTTCGGTTGCACCGGTTCGGTTTCGGCACCAGTCCGGTTTGTTAGCCGGTTCGGTTTTCCTCGGGACGGTTCGGTTTCGGGCGGCCCCGTTCGGGCGTTCGAAAAGTTGGCGCGCCAACGAGTATTGTTGCGTGTTGCGGCCGCGGATTGAACCGCGCACAAAACATGAGCAGGAGTGGGGGGAGGAGGGGGAGGAAGAGGAGGAAGAGGAGGAAGGGAATGGAGAGGGGGAGCGAGAGGGGGAGAGGGAGGAGCGAAGGCAGCGGCGACGATGAAGGCGGCGTCCCGACGGCTTTGAGCGCCGACGGCGCCTTCCCCGACGGCGCGATTTCGGCCTCTGGAGGGGAGGTTGTTTTCGAGCCGTGGGGCCGTCGCGCTCGGATGAGCCGTCGCGGGCAAAAAAATACAGATCGTCGGATATCTAAATGAGGCCGCTGCCTCGCTTCCACCGCCTAGCCGCCGCCGCCCAGCCGCCGCCGTCCTCGCACGTCGCCGTCGTCGTCGGCCCGCGCCTGCCCGAGAGGTCCTGGCCGACCCGGGTGTCCCGACCAGCTAGGGGGTCCAGACCTGGGGTCCGGACCGGGGAGGGTTCGGATGATCGGGGGGTCGGGACCGGGGGTCCAGACCTGCCCTGGAAGACAAAGCCTCGTGGCTATTATTGGGCCGCGCTGGTGTGGAACTGTCAAAACGATTTTCAAGTGTCTGGTCGTGTCTATTTCCATGCCCCGCGCATCATATGTGTTTTCAATGTTTCGTTGGCGTTATGATGGGCACGGTGTATATTTTAAGCGTTTAAGACATGTTTAATCATTTTGAGCCACGGACTTAAACATGTTTAGCCACGAATACCCACAAAATAGCCACGGCATGACTTCTAGCCACGTTTAGCCATATTTAGCCACGTATAACCATGTTTAGCCACGGGCACCAACGAGCGGATTGCATGCCAAAATTAAAGCCACGCTTAAACTTCAAATAAACACGCACGTTTTCTAATCCGAATATGTGCGAATGACGGTATGGAAGTTCTAAGATGTGTAACACAGATGAGGGTTACCCATTACTTTGGGAAGGAGGAAGAGGAAGACGGAGGAGCAGCCAGAGGATGAGCAGGAGGAGGTACGGAGGGAGAGACGAGGAGAAGGAGGAAGCGGATGAGGGGGGAAAGATGAGGATCAGGAAGAGGAAGAACATATGTGGACGAACAAGGACACTACGACGAATAGTGATAATAATAATCGTAAAACGAATGAGAAAAATAAGACGAACAACAGCAAGAACCATGACGAAGACGACGACGAAGACGACGACGACGGCGCTGGCGGCGGCGGCCGACGCGGCGGCGGCGACTGCTACGACGACGACGACGTCAGGAGTCAACCACCGAGGTCTTTGCAAGTCTTTCGCTAAGGGATTGTGTTGGAGGCTTCTTGGGGCCATCGGGGGGAGGCCAGTTTGGAAGCCTCTTGGGCCCTCTTGGGGTTCTCTTGGGACCTTATTGGGACTCTCTTGGGGCCCTGTTGGGGCCTTCTTCGGAGCATGGGGCCATCTTGGAGGCCATCGACCATCAGAGGGGAGGGTCGTGGATCCCCCTCCCCCTCTGGAGCCCGACATTTGCTCCTTGGCGCCCTATTGGGGCGTTTTTTGGGGCGGTCTTGGGCGCTATTGGGGCCGCGTTGGGGCCTTCCTGGGCACCTTTTGGGCAATCTTGGAGTCATTTTGAGGCCTCAGGGAAGCATCGGAAGCGGTTACCTTGGTGGTTGCCTTCTGCCGTCGTCGTCGTCCTCCTCGTCGTCGTCCTCCTCGTCGTCGTCCTCGCCGCCGCCGTCGTCGCCGTCGCATTGGTTTTCGTATACGTCGTATTCCTCTCCATCGTCGTCGTAGTCGTTATGCTCGACATCATCGTGTCCAATTTCCTCCCGCACCCTCTTCCTCTTCTTGCTCCTTCTCCTTCCCCCTCCTCCGCTTCCTCCTCCTGGCGCGATGCGGGTGTGTCTTTTGTGGGGCAACTTGCTTGATCGTGCGGGCAGCGATGTTTAGCGTTTCCCCCGT